ACAATAAAAACCTCAACATAAGCAACAGCCCTCCAATTGTTGACTCAACTACAACAACAACGAACAACAAAACATTCAGCGATGATGAAGACAACGACGAAGTTGCAGATGATGACGATGATGACGATGTTGAAGATGACGACGACGACGACGACGATGATGCTGATGATGCTTGGGAACAAAAACACAAACACAAACCCCACCCCAACAGAAGTTCAGCCGCAAAATCAGAATCATTAAGAAAGATGATGTGTGACCAGGAGACCAGTGACAACAACAACATCCTCTGTTTGAAAACATTCACGCAACAGCATTACAACAACAACCATCTCCAACAGCAACAACAACAACAACACTTACTTCCACATCAACATTTCCTTCAACTCTCTTCAACACCGCCCACCTACTTCAACAACTACCACTCCCACCACCCCTTCCCGTACCATCCCTACCCCCACCCTCATTTTACTCCCCCCAATCTTCAGCCATCCTACGTTACAGAATCTTTCTTCAACAACCCCTTCTACCACCCCAACAACAGTTGCAACATTTTCGACATCGACCCGACAGCAGCTGCAACAGCAACACAACATCATCAACAACATCAACAACAGCAGCTGAACTCCGCAAGCAGTCATCTTCCTTATTATCGCTACATGCGCATTCCCAGCTGTTTGAGGCAGGAGATGTGCTGCATGTGGCTCGTGCCTCTCGAGACGTCCTGCAGCAACAACAGCAGCCACAGCAGCCACAGGTTCTATAGACATCCGCTCAACCAGTACTATCCATACAACAACATTCCAGCAAACGTCATCAACAACAACAACAACAACAATGTCGATCTCATTTCTGAAACGAAACATTTGTTTAGTCAGAGATTAATTTGCAACAACAATTACAACAACAGCAACAGCAGTGATATCAACAACAACAATGACATCAACGGCAACAAAACCAACAACATTGTCGAAAATTACAACAACGAAGACATAAGAGATTACCTCAAAGTTCAACACCACCAACACTACATCCAACAACAACAACAACAACTTCAACAACAACAACTTCAACAACAACAACCACTTTTAAAATCAAAACCAGCAACCCCAAATGATGCCAACAGACTTCCTACCAACTTCATTAAAAACATCAACAACAACACGAACGACAACACAGACAGCAGCTGCAACAACTCATCTTCAAAACACCCCCCGACAGCCACAACACCACCACCCCCACCTCACACGCCACCCGGCTACAAACCCTGTCGAAAAACCTTCACCTCCATGCACGAGCTGGTGACGCACATCTCCGTTGATCACGTGGGAGGTCCGGAGCAGAACAACCACTCCTGCTTGTGGCAGGGGTGTGCCAGAGCGCTGAGGGCGTTCAAGGCGAAGTACAAGCTGGTGAACCATATCAGGGTGCATACGGGAGAGAAACCCTTCCCCTGCCCCTTCCCCGGCTGTGGAAAGGTCTTCGCTCGCAGTGAGAACCTCAAGATACATAAAAGGACTCATACAGGTCAGTGCTTGGGTGGTGGTGTGGTGGTAGGGGTCCTGGTGGAGAGAGTTGTGATGGTTTTGGGAAG